ATACAAACGCTTCTGCGACCTGTCATCACATATGGCAGCGAATTTAGAGATTTCAGTACAAGTAATAAAATCGAATTAAGAATAAGTGGATGAAGGTTCCTCCGAAGAGTGCATTAAAATGGTTCACGGTGAATCACACAGAGTTCTGAACCATGAAATCTGGTTTAACCTATTAATTCAATAATCATCTATTAAAGCTATCCCTGTAACAGACCGCGGAGGCCCACACGGTTGTGGGGCGTTGAGGTTCCCACATTTTCTAAACAATTGGCTCACAGATGGAGGTGAGGTTGTCAGCCTTACGAACCGGCCACCCTTTACGACCCGGGAAGATTTCTGGTACTAATTTCTGTTAGAGGCTGAGTCGACCCCAGGTCCACAGTGCGACTGGAAGGTTTAGGTCAACTGAGAAATCCAATGAGCTCATCGGCAATCGAACCCGCGTCCTTCTCGCTTGCAGTATAGTGCCTCAACCAACTACGCTACCGCGTAACTCATATTAATCTACTTTTTAATTTAAATTAAACATATGTCTCTAATGTCCTTTTTTTTACTCTCTCAGTTTTCTTTTCACTTCACCAAATTCATAAAGTATCTTCCTCCTGATGCGCGCTCCTGTGCCCTGGGTGCAGAATTGCGCCAAGTACATCTGAAAGTTGTGTCTGCCAGAGGTGGAGTTATCTGGCGCGAACAATGGCTTAGTACGATAATACAGGACAACAAATTGTCACTTATTTCTGTAAGACGTTTGAAATATAGAGTAAGCTGATCACAAAAGTAACAGTAAAAATGCTGGAACGGGCACAGCAGTTTTTATATTCTTTTTTTTTTTTGCAGGCAAAACATACCAACGTGCATTGTGCTTATTTTTCATTTTAAAATAGAATTATTATGACAATGAAAATAAATTTATATACATAATTCAAACATACATCATCATCATTACTGGCACGACAGCCCTTTGTGAGCCCTGGCCTTCCTCAGGATTGCTCGCCATTCTTCCCCATTCGATGCTACATTCCTACAGTTCTTTACACCCAAAATTCTTATGTCCTGCCACACACATTCTTCCCATCTTAACTTTGGTCTTCCCACTCTCCTATTTCCTTCTGGTTTTGTATTAAGCATTTTCTTGATGGTTCTATTCTCGCTGGCACGTATTAAGTGTCCAGCCCATTCAAGCCTTTTCACCTTTATAAATCCAATAATATTCTGGTTCATTAAATAGTTTGTATAGCTCATGGTTATACCTCTTCCTCCATATTCCATTTCCTTCCACTGGTCCAAAGCTATATCTCAGGATCCTCCTTTCAAATATACTTAACAGTCTTTCATCCGATCCTGACAGTGGCCAGGTCTCAGAGGCATAAGATAGCACTGATCTTATAAGTACTTTATACATCACAGTTTTGGTTTTCCTGGGTATTAGTTGGGATTTAAGGTGTTTCCTAAGGCCATGGAGACATTTATTTGTAGCAAGTGCACGCTTTTTTATTTCATCACTGATGTCATTTTTACTTCTGATCCAAGGTAAGTGAAACTACATACAATTCAAATATTCAAACATACTGTCGCCAGTTTATGGCTCCGTGACTAATAATAACGGCTTTTGGATTGGATGACTGGATTTAGTGACAGCTGTGCTTTTACAATCTCTCTTAATCACAATCAATTGCAATAACTCACAATCAATCTTCAGTGGAACTCTTCTTCCTTGTCTGCCGATGACTCGCACCGTTCTTGTTCTACGACTGACTACTCAAAGTCAAAGTCAAGTCAAAGTTACTTTACGACTGGCGGTTTACTCTAAATCAGTTGTTCCTGAGGTGAAGCCCCTTGAGACTCACTGCCAGACATTTTTTCCAATTGAATCATTGTGGTAATAGATGGGTTTGTCTCTTATGAATACGCTTGGCCTTTCGTCAAGTGTAGATTTCGCATATATACCGTATTTACGCATGTATAGGCCGCACATTTTTTGCAAAAAATTCAAGAGGAAAACTGGGGTGCGGCTTATATTCGAAATATTCGAAATCACCCTTCATTTTAAAAAAATATTCATAATTAGTAATACAGGGTGTTCTACTCCTGAAATAATATTCCAAGAAAATTATTTTTCTATAATTTCTGTCTGAAAATTGTGCTGCGGCCTATACACGCACGCGGCCTATACATGCGTAAATACGGTATATATCAAAGTCAAATTTACTTTACGACTGGCGGTTTACCGCCAATCGGTTCGTCTTAGCATCAGCCCCTTGAGGCCAACGACCAGAGATTTTTTTAAACTGAACTCTTGCGGTATTAGACCTTACGTAACAAACTCTCTCACGAGAAGATGGGTTTCTCTTATGAATATGCTTGGCCTTTCGCACACACACAGCATGTTATTGAAAAGGCTTCCTTTTGCACTACACACAAGTCCTCCGCCAGTATAGGCTTTAGAGATCAGATAATGCATATCTTACGTATCTAATGCTACAACGGCAGCTTAGTCACTTGAAATGTCGTAAGCTCGATCATCGCCAAGTTTAAGACTTTAATATTTTCTATGTCTGGCTTCACCTTGTCCTATGCAGCGAACATGTTCATTTTCATGATTTGTATGACTTCTGTTTGTCGTCTGCGCAATTTGTTACACACGTATAACTGTATACATACGGAGGGTGGAAAGCTGTGTGCGAATCGCGGAGCGGTGTGCACCTTGGAAGACTCCCAATGGTGCGCAGAACCTTGTTTCGCAGGCGCTGCAATTTTAAGAGGTAGGTGCCTGCCGCTAATTACCAGGCGAGACAAGCCAAGTCATTACTCACATATAGCAGAGAGTTAGAGTTACTTTACGACTGACAGTTTACCTGCAATCAGTTCTTCTTAGCGACAAGCCCCTTGAGACCCACGACCAGTTATTCTTCCCCCATCTGAACACTTGCTGTCATTGTCCTTATGTAACATCCTCTCTGACTAGAGGATGGGTCTGTCGATTACAACTGCTCCTGGTCCTTACCAGCGCAGTCATTCTCAGGTTCAAGTACAGCGAGAATTATGAACAAATGTTACTGTCTCATGTTATATTTTAGCGTCCTGCTGCACTGATTCACGTTCATGATGTGTATTTGTACCAACCGTCTTCCAGTGCACACAATTTCACACACACATATCCAGCAACACAACGCACGCAGTCACAAGGGAAGGACACAACACAGGACACAATATACACAAAAATATAGGAAGAGTACTCCCATAGGAGAGGATTGACGTAACTCGCGAATTTGAAGTGCGACGTATAGATGATAAATCTTGAAGAGTTTTTAATATATAAGCTTTATTATTATACATGACATATATACATTTTAATCATTTTATAAAGGAGACATGATGGCATACAGTGTAATGGTTTGACGTAAATAAAATCACACCTGAAGATGGCACATTAGTGCCGAAACATGTAGTGAAGAGAAAAGTGAAATTGTGTGCACTGTAAGACGGTTGGTACAAATACACATCATGAACGTTACTGTCTCAGATTCCAGACTCCCCCAACCTGAAGGACCGGGTCCCTGTTTTTATATCCCCCCAGTCAAAGTCAAAGTCACATTGCGACTGACGGTCGGTCGGTCAGTCAGTCAGTCAGTCAGTCAGTCAGTCAATCTTGGTGTCAAAGTCACATTGCGACTGACGGTCGGTCGGTCGGTCAGTAAGTCAGTCAGTCAATCTTTGTGTCGAGCTCAATCTGGATCGCTAAACATATTCCACGGTACACTTCTGCGGGAATGTGTTTAGCGACCCATTGCCTAAAAATGGGCATGGTGCGGACCGCATAGAAAATACTTCTTGCAATACCTTTCCTATTGTTGCATGCGCGTATTTCGGACGTTGCCTAGAATGGATCTACAGGTCATAATATTTTTATCACTTTGCAGTTGATAGAAATTGCAAGAACATAAGGGAAACATGTGAAAAAGAAGCGCTGTTTTAGCACAAAAGTCAACACACGAAATTGTGCTGGGATGGAAAACTTTTATGTCGAACTCTGAAACCAGACTATCACAATTTGTTTTAAAAGTCATCTGTCCTTTCATGTTACCTCTCCCTTACTGACTAGCGTAACGACGTATAGAGTGATTCTAAATTATTGTCGGGGTTTCCGTCGCCTATACTTTTCAAACCGGAAATAATAATAATAAAAAAAAATGTTCTCGATATACAGAGTGTCCCAGGAGGAATGTGCCAGACTTCGGGAGGCTGATCCTTATGTTAAAGTATGCCAATATAACCCAAAACACCTGTGTCCAAAGTTGAACGGTTACGGAGATAATGGCCAGAGAAGTGTGAAACGTTGACAGGTGTTACACACTTGTTGATTACCAAATACATATTAAAACTGGCAGGAATGTGTGGTTTCTGTAATGTTAATAATGTACGTAACATCAAACTAACTTGTGAGTGACATGAACCTATTAAACTGAATTACAAAAAAACTCGCACGCCATGTCATAGTTGTCGTTAGGGTTCCAAGCACTATACATGACACATGAATGGCAAGCACTGACGTAACATGGCTGACTGAGCATTCTGGTATGCGAGTGTATGCGGCTAGTGTGACTCGTAATCACCACACTCAAGGACAACCATAGATAAGACTTCTCAGCTGGCAGGTACAGTGCATGGAACCGCCAGAAGACCACACTTTTCTCGGGCCATTATCTCCGTAACCGTTCAACTTTGGACATAGATGTTTTGGGTTATATCGGCATACTTTAACATAAGGAACACTCTCCCGAAGTCTGGCACATTCTCCTGGGACACTCTGTATGAAAGCGTAATTCAAATAGTTTATTACATACAGAATCAATGCTACGGACTGCTAAACAATTCAGCATGGGCAACCAGCGGTGTTGTTTCCAGTCTGAAAATTATAGGCCATGGAAACCCCAACAACAATTTAGAATCACATTGTAGTTCCTTATGTGTCCGTCCCCAGATGCGTGGATAAGGCTCACCTGTCTGTGAGGATGACGCTGTTACCCAGGCGTCGGTGGCAATGCCCCCAAATGGGGAGGATGGCTTCAGCAGTAATGTTCACCTCTGAGTACTGCACTTGTCCTCCAGGCGTCGCAGATGTGGACTGCATAGCATATTCACCCTGCAGCTCTATCGGGAAGTAGCATGCGGCCGAGCCTGTAACGAAGTGTCGCACTGCTTTATCCTTCTTTAGGGCTGGAACACACACAGCTACATCGGTCGTACGACGTCCGTACGATTCATGTCGCATCAAGTAATAGAATATAAAGTGTAGTCTTAGCTTTCATACGTGACGATATGCGACATCTACCTATGACAGTCGGAGAGCAAAGAAATGTATTTAGTCGCTCTAGTGTGAAAAGGAGGTCGTGCGGCAAAAAAAAAAAAAATCGTATGACATATTTCTGTACGACCGATGTCGCTGTGTGTGTTCCTTTATACTTTAACATAAGGAACACCCTCCCGAAGTTTGGTCCATTCCTCCTGGGACACCCTGTATATATATTATATATTCCAACTATGAATAAAACATAATATCGTACAATATTTTCGACATGTGGATGACATCCTCATCACATACGACCCAACAGAAACAAACACAGAATAAACATCAGCAGAATTTATTAAACCTCAATAGAATTTAATGAATTATAACATACTACGAAACTCAAATATAGTGGTATTATAGTGTAGCAAAGCCACAACTGAACGCTGACTTTGATTTTTTACTATTTGCTGTGTTGTAACGGTTCATTAAAGAGTTGTTAAAGAAACATTTTACACAATGACTAATATAACAATATCCAAGTGATCATATTCACCTAACATACATCCCTCATAACAGAATACAAAACCAGACACCAACAACCTAAAACTCAAATAGGCCACTTTAAAATGCACAGGAAATTTTAAAACAATCACGAAATATGTAAGAATAACGATAATTAAGGCTATTTCAAGCCAGAATAAACGTGCCACATACATCACAATGAACAAAAGGGGGAGATATCTGGTCAGCCCACAAAGTTATCCTATCTATTTTACATGTATGAGCTATCTTCATCCTTCCAGCTTCACTATGACCCTTGGATCGACTCAGCCTTTAACAGAAATGAGTACCAGGAATCTTCCTGGGGGTAGACGGCGACCGGAGCGTAAGGCTGACAACCTCACCGCCATCTGTGAGCTGATTTTCTATAAAATGTGGAAGCCTCGACGTCTCACAACCCTACGGGCCTCCAAGGCCTTTTACGCAGTGACACTGAGAGAACCCATGAAGACTACTCAGCTTCACACTGTCACTAGAAGTGTTGTGCAGAGAAGGGCGGAAACGCAGACACAGAAAAGTCGCTCTTGTTACATAAAAGACCACGGGCGAATGTTGAATGACTATAATGATTTAGTAGTTACTATAGGATTCTGACGATGGTGTATAACACACTGATATATTGGGTTTCTGGACTTTATCCATCGTTATCTTAAAAACTAGGACGATGGATAAAGTCCAGAAACCCAATATATCAGTGCATAATGATTTAGGCTAAGGTTTTCTTGGGCGTTACATTGCGTATTCTGGTAGACGAAGGAACCTACTGTTTCCATTTTCATGGTAGAAAATGTTTCTGCGAAAGTGGCAATAAGAAGAAAGGTTCTTAAGACACAGTGGTAATACATCCCTGAAGACTACGGTGTAAATTGTAGCCGTTCATCCTAATTTGGTGGGCTATTTTGTATTAATTAAATCTATATCAAGTTAATATCACAAAATTATAAACAGAGATATCCGGCAGATAGCCAACTATTACACGCAGAAGCGATATAGTTCAAGTTTTGCTATGTGGACAGGAAGTAACATCTGGTACATTTCCTGGAATTCTGGCAGTTTCAGCAACGTCGGAAAGTCTTTGCGAATTTGAGAGCTGACAGCTTGGAACAGCTATAACTTAGAAGTGGGAGGGCCGGAACCTCATCTCCTGATCGTAATGCATCAAGTTGCTGTCAACCTTAGGGTCAGGTCAGCAACTGCCAGAATGACATACCAAAGCAACATGATTGGAAATTCACAAATTTAGGGAAACTCCTAGTTTGAAAACTTAACCAATGGCACAGGTTGGAGGAGTGGATTTCTCTTGGAGTCTGTGGTTCGTGGACCTCAGGATTCAGAGAGAGTGCATTCCACCTCGGGGAGTCTTCATTCAACTTTCGGCCAAGTCAGACACAAATTACAACTACATCCCTTCAGTAAAAGTATTATAAGTTAAAATCCAAATAAGTGTTATTAATAGATTCCGTTGTACTCAGTGAGCTGGAGTGAATTAAATAATTACTCGTACTAAGTGCAAAAATCTGAAGTGGTGTATGTGATTGTAGCGTAAGGTTCTTCCTGCCCTGCCTGAGCCAGGGCCGTATAAGACCCCGGCATAAGAACTCTTCTCTACCCATTACAGAGGAGAACCCAGATACTCCCGTCTTTCCCTACCTGCGAGACACCTAATGGTCGTACAGGAAACGAACTCTAGCCTGCCAGCACCAACAACCACAATTCTCCTCCCTTCACACGTAACTTCTCGCCATCCACGAGAAGGAGGAGGGCAGTAACTCCAGTGGAGGTGTCCAGACAGGAGGTGCGGGTGAACCGCAGCGCCGGAAGGAAGGGATACACGCAAAGAACTAATAAGTGACGAAAGCCAGGCAAAAGGTAGTCACAAGTGGTGCCGAAAGTAAAGGGCCCAACAAAGTGAGCGGTGATAAAAGATATTCACCGCCGTGAAAACATCAATGTCTATGAGGTTCTAGTATTGTTTTCACTTGCAATGTATGTAGAACTAGCATTCAGGTTACTTTCTCAAGGATTGTGACGTTCCATTCATTATAACGGTGTTGACACTTTCCACTGTCTGAGGTATATCTGATATACAAAAGGTTTCGAAAGCTAGCTCCTGCCCCATCTTCTAGTATGTTATTACACGGGCAGATTTCTTGTTTCATAAGTTTAGGAAGCCCACCACCATACTGCGTGTCCTGTATTCTGAAGATACCGGTCTGATATCAACCACAGCCAATATTCTCAAGAACAAATAATAATAATAATAATAATAATAATAATAAAGCAACAAAAATAACAAATGGCAGTATAATGACAACCAGTCACCTGACCTTGGAAGTACGGCTAACTTCCGAAACGCTGAGTAGGCTTAAATCAAATATATCAGAGATGACAGGAAATGTCCACCACACGTTGATGTTCTATAAAATTGCCACTCGGATCGGCTTCTTGAGCATGTACGAAGGTGGGATGGCTTCCCACAGCTTGTCATTTATCCAGAAATTTTGCGAATGTCGGTCACGTAGTCACTGTCATAGTGATGACAGCGAGGGAATTAAGAGGAAGGACGAACAGACTTACAAACACGTGAACGGAGAGACTGGACTCCAAACACAGAACAAGCGTCACACGATTTCTTACAAATTTTTCATTACCAATCGGCAAAGAGATATCAGCACATGCACACAACATACCGTAAGCCAATCTGTTTTCAGAAATCGAATAAAAAGGAGCAGAAACTTCATATGAGTGGGAATGTTGTGACAGGCAGATGTTGAGAACCATTTTGCAACAGGCGACTGCGGAAGTAGTACAGTAACAAAATGGAAGACCGTGTAATGATGAAAAATCAGAATCGAAAGTAGTGATCATAAAATTCAGAATGGTGAATGGCATCGTTGATTATGGTGGACACAGAACAATATGTTGTATAAAAATATTTTATTCTCAGTTTCAGCCCCTACAGTGAAGATGTGGAAATTTCAAATGTCATCTCTAATTTGATGTACTTCACAGAAGTGTAATTTGTTTATTGTTCACTGCTGTGCGCTGCCACAGGGGTGCAGCAAGGGGGGTTCGATCAGATTGTACACTGAATAGAACTTTAAAATCATAATTTTATCTGTCTGCTTTCCTACAAATGCTGGAAGGGCCAAATGCCCACAATACGAGCAGACGTAAGTTCTGGGAGGAGAAAGGTGTAACATTAAGAGACATATAACCAAGAATATGAAGATAAACTTAAAATTTTCCTACAAATTTGGCAATTCTCAGAGATTGATTACGACCATTTAAACAGAAAGGAAGATTACTTTTTCGGAGACAGTTCTAATTATTCTGAAAATTGTGATAAACTCGATAATTTATACACATTTTAGAATATTGTGACATGTTGAGCTCTGAATGACGCCCCTCCCCCCCCCNTCACCGAGGGATATCGCGGTTACTAGGCAGCCGTCAACAACTCCGGACAGCGTGGCTAGCAACAAGGGTGCCTATTACGTGGCCGTATTTTCCGATCGAGGCTACATAGGGAGCAGCGAAGGCTATTCACAGTCAGTTGTACTGAGTCAGTCAGTGAGTCCTGGAGCTACCGCCGAGTTAGCCAGCAACTAGTCAGTTGTATTCTGGCATTTGGAGTGTACTAATTGTGATACTGCAGATAGCAGTAACCGTAAATCTGTAATTTGGGTGAGTGTATGAGCGAGTGTGAAATAAAATTCGCTATACAAAATATGGCGTGAAGTTATTTGTCGCGATATACGCCCGATACGCGACAATATTTTGAGAACACACGATTACAAATACAATATTCACACCCGATCAGGGATAACTCAGTAGACACAAATGTAGAGATGGACTGGATGACCAAGGAATTGGGGTTCAATTCTCAACAGGAAATGACTTTTTTCTTCATCAAAGCGGCCCACCTCAGCCTACTATTCGATGGGTGTCTGTCTCCGGGGCGCAAAGCTGATTATACGACATCCGTTCCGATATTTGAACGAGATATCTCTCGAATACGAAATAAGGCATTCAACCTTCGGGTGCGGATTCGGTATTTTCGTAATCCTCGGCACTCTTAACCAAATGAGCCATTTATAAAATTCTTAGTTATGATATTAACGCATTCATCTTCAATTTATCTATCACCTATCAATTTATGACACCTCTATCACAAGGGCGTGTGATAACTGCACCACCCTTTTATTACCTTCATGTCTGCGCCCTTCTTGAATAACTTGTTCACTGCCTGTATTCAGCAGATCAAAGAAGAAACCGACTTTGCTTAGCAAATAGGCGTTATTGTGTTATATTTAGATATTCATAA